ATAGATAGTATAGTTGGGATTTCACAAGAAAGATCCTGCTAACTTTCTGCAGAGGTTTGTGACAACGGATGACACGTGGGTCCATCATTTCACCCCAGAGACCAAACAAGTCTAAACCATGGAAGCACACTGGTTCATCCCCGTCAAAGAAGGCAAAGACTGTTCCATCAGCTGGAAAAGTTATGGTCTCGGTTTTCTGGGATGTTAATGGTATTCTGGTGGTAGATTTTCTGCAAAAAGGATAAACAACCAATGGCACATATGCATCACTTCTTATGCAGTTAAGAGAAAACATTAATATAAACTTTATTTTATTCCATAACAACATGCGAATAATACATAGTAAAGTATACAGAGGAATTGGAATTGGAAACAAGTTAAACAACTTATATAAATCCATTAAACTCAAGCACCTCGGAAAACGCGGTAAAGGTATGTTGTTCCACCAGGACAATGCCCCTGTTCACAAGTCTGTCATCGTCATGGCTGCCATTAACGGAAGTGACTTTTAATTGATTGCGTATCCGCCTTATTAGCCTGACCTCGCTCCAAGTCAGACCTTCATCTTTCATCAAAATTGAAAAATGCCATTTCTGAACGGTCAAGAAAAAGACTTCTTCAAAAAGTGGCATTGAAATCCTTAAAACATCACTGTCAAAGAGTATCGACACTGAAGGAGATAATGTTGAAAAATAAAGCAATATGTCCCCCAAAAGAAAATCCTTAAATATGAGGTTCATAACTTATCAATTAGCCCTAGTACAATAGGCATTATGCCAGGAAGTAACGACGCCACAATCAAAACAATCATAACAAATTCATGTAATCTATGTTGGTTCGTTAAATACATCTTTATCTATTTCGATCGGTAGTAGATTCGTTTCAAAGTTTAGTTCTTCCATCAGACACTGAAGTTTTCAAACTATTACATTAGGATAGTATGATAGTCTGACCTGAATAGCATCAACATAAAAAACATTATGGCGCAGTGAACTTCCGGACCGTGTTTACATGCTCGTGAATGACCTCTTACTAACGACCGCGGTGTTGTTTACCCCGGCGCGAGACCAATAGAAATCAGCTGACTGGACAATTATATACATGTATCGTAGATAATCAGGAGTGACTCACAGCTCACCTTAAAATCTACACCGATAAGTTCATTTAACTGATGGTGTGACGCACAACTTGAAGTCATCAATTATATTCTATATTTTACATAATGGTAGATCTTTTAAGTATTACGATAAAGTATCTCTTGGAATTTATATGTAAATATGGATATATTTATTACTAAACCAGCTTGGAACCCTTAGAATTATAATGTATGGCATTCTTGAAAATTAAAATGATGACTATGTGTCATGAAATTGATTATGTGTAATAAAAGTTTTATAAAAATTATTAACATTTTTGCAGCTTGCATAATGCTAAAGTTCTGCCAGCATTATTGGCTACTAGAATGCCTTTATTCAGAAAACTTTAGTTGTATAATCCACACACAAAAAATGTCAGTAAGAGGAATTATTAAGATCAAAATGAAAATGTTTAAAACATGTACGTTAACCATTTAGCTACCCAGCTATGAATGTAAATAATAGCACGCGCAGCACCTAGTGGAAATGAAAGTTTCCATTGTTTAAATTGTGATGTCATAATTTTTTGAAAGCATATGTATTGTGATGTAACCATAGAAAGAGACTGGGTTAATTCAGATGTCACGTCAGTGTAATAAATTTCAAGTTTTTACAAATATTTGTTAAAATATCTAAGCCATGTATTAAAAGATGTACATTCGTTTCCATTTCAGATTTATGAAATCCCTCATGATTATTTTTAACTTGCCAGAGGCTTGGTTAAATGATATATTCGTCGACTCGTGAAATATTCTGAATTATGTGGTTGATTTATATTTCTCTCTAAAACAGACTGTGTTGTTAAGATGTAAACATCTGAGTTCACGAACATTGTTTATCTATCCATTACATGTTTCATAGGTGAATTATATTTAATGTGTTGACAGTGTATTAATAGTAGGTCGAGCATATTCCGCTAGTAAACAACATGTAAATGGAGGATGATATACAGGTGACAGTTTAATGTTATCATTTGATTAAGAGAGGATCTCCTGACAAAACATTTGTTGTAATATGTAGTGTTTGTTTGTAATCTAACCGAGCAGAAATCCACGTGCTTATCAGAAATACCATTCAGGGGTGCGTCCTTACAGGTCATCGGCCGATATGGGTTACGGATTCGATGCCATGTACGGTTAGGTTCAGACAGATACAATTCCTTGTGACGATTTTTTAAACTTGGGTTGATTGACAACACGTTCTTTTGAAAAAGATAATGATGTTGTCAAGAAAGAGACTTAAGAAGTTGAAATCGGTAAATATCGAAAGCATCAAGAAAAAATGAAATCCACGTCAGGGGCAAAAGATGTGACAATCTAGTGTTGAAAATCACGTGACTATCGCTACATCTCGTTATATCTCCAGGCACGTTGATTGAATACCATTGGGAATATCACATTAAAGTTTGCATTCTTGATTAATTTTGAATGTTGTGGTCATGTGCAGATGATCGAACTTGGGGTTATATATCGTCATCACTTCATTAAATGATCTGGTTTCTTTTTTTTTTATTTCATTATTTGATAATTTCTTAATGACGTTTATAAAGACTTACATATTGTGACACGATACGTTTCAGAACGAATAACTGAAGTAAGTAATATCAGAAAGCCTTGAGATAGTTGAGGCACAAAGGTGTCATATCTTTTTAAAGATTTTTTTTCCGGTCTAGCTAACTAATGCATTACTTGTTGAAGCAATGTTTACTTATTCGACCGTCCTGTGCTGTTGTGTTTTTTCTATTGGTATACAATGGGCCTCGCGTATTGTGTGCAATGAGTCAACCACCAACAACTACATGAAGACTCCGCTGAAAATGACACAGGCTGGTGTGATAAACAGATTTTTTTGAAATATCAATATATATATATATATGTAGGGACTTAGTATGATTTTAAAAAATGCACATAGTTTTATCTTACGCGAGTATAATTTTAATATAAAGGCCCATTGACTTCATATACGACTATATACGATTATCAGTTATATTTAATGCATGGTGAGTACTTCAAAATCATTGGAGCGTAGCATAAATAGAAAAGCATGACAATGTATCATTGTTTTTTTTCTTTTGACACTAAACCCTGATCTGTGAATGGTCCGTTTATTGTGACATGGTTAGTTAGTTATTTGTTAAAACCGAAAGAAATCATTTCATTTTCTCTGTGACATTTCTCTATGTAGTAAGTATAACTCAACAGATTGTCCGTCTCTAGAGTATTATATTTAGAAAGAAAATTTTAAATTATATTTCTCCTGATTATGTATGAACCCTTATTTTCTAACGAAAAAGTTTTTATTTATTCTAATTTCTTACATAAACTTTGGCAATGTGATGAATTCGCCAACAACAGCACTATTTTCGTTCTGCAAATAAACACAACACAACGAGGTCACCGTACAATTATAGGTCATGTTATTGTTTACGTTACAGGTTTAAATTGTAAGTTATTTGTTTAAACATTCATCGCGTCGAGCAGACTGTTTACACTTACCTGGTACAGCGAGAATGTCCTACAGTCCACATAAACACGTGGGTATGTATTCACTGTGGTATTGGTGTTATCTTAGGTTAATTTTTTTTTAATGGAATTTACATCATTATCAACATCTATTCGCTTTCAGTTAAGTTTTCTAACTTTATAATGATCTTTTTTTTTAGATACAAATGGGTTGAATATGTATACATAACAAATGTAGTTAAGTCACGTCCGACCCCTTTTTTTAGTATGGTGACGCTGTAGTAAGTTATATGAAAGATTTGATTTATCCTTACACAAATGCTGTACGAGTGACGCGTAAATTTATCACCATCCTTTAGAATATAAATGTACCAGCATTGGACCTGAAGAGAAAAATACATATGTACAAGCATTGGACCTGAAGTGAAAAACACACATGTACAAGCATTGGACCTGAAGTGAAAAATACACATGTACCAGCATTGGACCTGAAGTGAAAAACACACGAGTCTGACCCAACCCCCTTTCATCGGGACTATGAGAAATAGCATGGGAAAATGTTGTGATGCCCTCTCGAAGGTCCAGACAAACTTCCTCGTTAATAAAAACTGAATCAAACCACCAGATTCCCACCTGTACCTATTGACCATGATTAACCCTTATGATTCACTGAAAAAGGAAATCACAAAATTGTATCCTAGTTCTACAAATTTACTCTGCGATCTTTTGAGTTAGGACGAGAAACAAATTTTCAGTCGGCTGTGTGATACAGGACTCCTAGGCCTTTTGGTTGCTCATCAAACGTATGCATGTAAATTGCAATGCACCTTTGTTGGTGCAGAATCCGTCTTCGGCATTTTGGCAGTTACATACAGTTAATGTAATTTATGTAACTGTATACATGCCAACATTCAGAAAACAGCAAAGTGGTGAGTCAAAAATATATGCAGCTGTCACCCCCTTCGAGGCTAATCCCATGCCTGCTGTTAAAGAAACAATGCTTAACAGATATCACGACACAGTCACTGTCGATCATTGTGTATTTATAGTTGTAGATTTCAAAACAGTGATATGTGACCTCATTTTAATTAAGTCGTCTGTTACAGGCTACAACACACTTAACTACATGTGCATTTAAATGGCCAATCCCATTTCTAAACACGATGAAAAGACGATAAAAAACAGTTACTGTCTTTATTATTGCTACATATCTATGCAGACTTGTGTCTACATTGTTCAAAATACAATCAATATCTGTTGATGATCAAATCACTGGTCACATGATGGGTTCGCCGGGCCGAGCAGTGTTAGTAAACACATTCGCCCGACGTGGCTTCTCAAGGTCGTTCGAGCTCGTCTTGTTTACGTGAAAAATTCTGTGGGGTTTGATTTCCCGCGACAGGGGCTGGGTATATAAACGAATGCACGCCTTCTCTAACCATAACAAACCCAGGCTGCAGAGAAAGAAGTGAACGCACTTTCATATTACGTACCGAAAAATTGTAAAGCGGTAAGTAAAACTTTCAATTTAGTTGCATGTCACACTGCCATTTAATATTTTCGTTGTTTATTCGGTTGTCATTTCAAATTAATAACATGTCGGTTTTTCGTTTGTTTTGTAAAGGTTAACACATGTATTTCCCCAATATCGACAGTATTGTAGATGTTTTTTTTCTATTTCTTCCAGACATGGACGGGAGACATTTCCACAAGATCGGGGGCGGAAACGAGCCTCACTATGCCCCACATCTGAACACTGTTCCGATACCAAAGACAGTAGATTATAATTGGCTAAATCAACCAGCGAAGAAACCGAAAGTCAATGTTGCGAAGGCGAAGTCTATACAAATCGGACGCCAAGGAAGCGTGGATGAACCCAGTTCTCCGGTCGGTTCCCCAACTTTGTCCGTTGGTTCTGTAGGGTCGTCGGCCATGCCAAACTCTCCTCCGATATCTACCTTCTCCTTCAGCAACTTCGCCTCCCAACCGACGCAACTAAAATCCGAGAAACAATTCTACCATGCATTTGACTTCAAATCTTAATCATAAAGGACTTGAATCTCGCCGGAAAACGGACTGGGCTTATGTATATATTTCACAAAATTGTTGGGGTAAATATTTGTACTATTGGGGAACAATTTGCAACCATGTAGTTCTTCCGGAAATCTTGAAAAAGGCTACGGACATTGGAAGTGGAAATACCGACAAGTTCGTAATCGAGGTATACTGCTGTGTATTCTAAGTCAGTCGTGTCGATAAACATTGAAAATTATTGTAAATTTACCATCATTATCTTTGTTCCGATGGGTAAAATTTAAGGGCAGATAGTAGTGTCAGCACTAGTTTTTTTTTTTTTTGTTTATCTAGTCTCTGTCACGTCTCTACAGATTTAATTTGCGATAATTTCCATAATTGACAAATTTGTGATAAGGTGTGTAAATGTGATGAACAAAAGAAACTCTTTGAACGTTAGTTTAATTTGAACAAATGTTTTCATTTCGGGGGAATACGGGATTGTGTATATATAGGGAGAAATGTGAGGTTTTGAAATTTTGCGTGTTTACATTTGTTTTTTCATTGATTGCGTATTCATTCATTAAATCGTATTTTTGTACAAAATCAAATGCATTTGTATTTTATTTACTCGATATTTCATCGACAGTTTCATGTTTGTCTTCTTGAGAACTAGTTGTGGTATCTTGACATTTTCATGCATTCAGAAAAAATAAGGGCACACTGATTGTTCCGAAATTATTTATATGCGAGACAAAACTGTGTACAGAACTATAAACGGAAATGTATGCTTATTAATCGCTGATGTGTTTTAACACGATCGCGAACAACTAGCATTCAACGGGAATTGTTGATTGTCCGCTTCCTATCAGACGCGGCCGGGTCGATTGCTTTGTTAGTAAACAAAGTTACCACGTGGTCTATTCCCACAAGATCGGTCAAAACATGTCCTAGTTGGATGAGCTTGAAGAATCCAGAGGCGTCCCGAATGTTGCGTCTGCGCACCCAAGACATGACTAGCTTGATCTAGATATGCATGCCCTTGAACTGCGGCGTGACCAGCTCTCGAGACCGAGATCTAAAATGTCGGTCACGTGTTGATTTATGACTAATGATTTTAATAGCTTTCGTCTATAGTTGTACTTTGAATGACTTACGAAGTGTGATTGTTGATGTTCGAGCTATGTGGTGAACACCATGAGTAGTATAGCCACAATGCTCACTTCATAATTTGTTGTTGAGACCGTCCCCAGCAGTGAAAGTCCTGTAAATTACCTAAGAACAGCTCGTCAAGCTAATAGGGTTAACAACAGTTCACATAAATAGCTGTCACCTCGAGTCAAAATCAGTCAACAGAATCTGATTTAAACAAACTAGCAAACATATATTAATTGAAACTCTTAATTTACAAATTCGCTTGTTTCCTACATGATAGACGTATTTTTGTGGATGGCCGACAAAATGATCGTTTACACTGACCAGACGAATTTATTTTTTCGATGCAACTTCTGGTGCTCGAATCAATTTATACCAGATATACTTTTTAAAAAATAAGCCGAGGTGTCGGTAGACATAAAGTAAGTGTCTCCGACTATTTACTTCAAACATGGTAAGTTGTGCACGTTTATTTCGTTTCCATAAATAACGGATGTACCGTACACGTGATTATAGATGGGCGTCATTGGAGTGAATAAAGGATATTCACGCCAAAACATTGAAAATATTTTGTGTTTTTTTACTGAACTAATTATAGACACATCTGGTTAACCCAGCTGGCTGCATTGTCGAGTGTTGTGACGAATTTTGTGCATATATATGTAAGTTTACCAAACAAGATTAAAAGTTCACATTCTTTATACAGAGTTAATCGACCGACACAGATATAATCAGAAGACTTGCAACATCAGACTGTCACGTGTATACACACCTATTTACGGCAACGGACACACTAAATTAAATCATTCTTGGCAGAACAGGAGAAAAAATCAGTGTATTGATTTCCTATAACCTTACATGAAGTAAAAATAGGATCACAAATCTATTTTAAAACGAGGAGTGGCTGTTCTGTACATATCAATTTCGGTACGATTAATTGTACACCAATGTGACAGTACCGAGAACTAGGTCTTTATTTGGATTTTGACTGACTACTTGGGGTGTATATAGATAGCATCTGGTCTCAACAACAGACAAGTTAATAGCTAGAAGCCCATACTTCGCAACCCCACCCCTACCTCATAATAGTCCAAGGGAGACTAATCTTACTGCCTCGTACCATGTCGGTGAGGAAATCTGTCGTCATGGTGACATGAAACCTCTACACATCATTTCATAGAAAATAGTTAAAACGGTGGTATCGTTCAAACACATAAACAGAGAAGTAAAATGTAAGTAAAATGAAACGATCCATAAGTTTTAGAAGCTTAAAGTATCACATAAAATGATTGAGAGATGATATCGATTAATTGATCGAGATATCTCATATATTTAAAATTCAATGATGTCTGCAATTTCTTTAAAAACTGTGTTTTAAAATGTATACTTTCGAATGTTTAAGATATATCCTTAAACGGATAAGGGATTTTAAAAAATCTACATAAAAAACGTGATAGGGATGTCTCCATCATTTACGATTTTTTTTTTACGTGTTAGACGAATTTTGAAGCTATTGCTCCAGATGCCACGTTGAAGGTGTATAGTCCGTGCACTAACACAGTACGATTGTTCTACTTGTACATGTTGCTCCCCTCCCTGTCATAATCATTACGACAATTTGAGGGATAGCAAGGGTAACAGAATATGATACTTTAATAGGCCGATTCAACACATAAGTCGAAATATTCAGTTTAACAGAACGGGAAAAGTCTTACAACACTAATGTCACGTGGTTTATCCACTACCTGGTTTCTCTGCTTTCATGTTGATGTACTGTCCCACCGATTGGTGTAAGAATCTTTGAGATTTGATTGTAGAGTTTTCAACTAGAATTTTCATTTGCATTGGGAATTTTTTTGTCATTGTCTCGACTCGAGAGAAACCGCGCATTACGGACTGAACGGTGGAAATCCCTAGGAAGAACTACTTTACTTACCTTACAGGAGAAGGCAGTAGATACAAAATGCATGCAAAAAGATAATGACATATCTTGTACACAAACTTCACTATTTCCAATGAAGTCAAGGGTGATCTTTGACTACTGACCTTGACCAAAAAATACAGGAGCACAACATTTCCCAGAAAAAGTTTTTTAAAATGTCTGTAAGACGTGAATGTTCCTGTTCCCATACAGGTACTTTGTCACTGTTTGATGAAATGCAGAAGTTTTCAAATGTGACCTTTGACGCTTTTATCTCGAACAATGACCATCTCACCTTAACCGATGGTCAGTAAAATTCGATCACGCGTAAAACACGATGGTGTGACCTGATGATTATGTTTCTCGGTTTCATGTAATATCTTGTGCACATGCTTGTTTTCAAAAAAATGTTGCATGCAGCCTTTTGACAGATGACCACCGAAATGTTTTCATCTTGAGAATTTCATAATATGACGATATTCCATCTAATCCACCAATGTTATTGGTTAATAGCTCACCCTGTTCCATCAGTGTTTTTGGTTAAAAGCTTACCCTATTCCAACAGTGTTATAAGTTTATAGTTACCCTATTCCAACAGTGTTTTTGGTTAATAGTTTACCCTATTCCACCAGTGTAATGGGTTAACCTGTTATCCTATTCCATCAGTGTTTTTGGTTTATAGTTACCCTATTCCACCAGTGTTATTAGTTTATAGTTACCCTATTCCAACAGTGTTATTAGTTTAAAGTTACCCTATTCCACCAGCGTAATGGGTTAACCTGTTATCCTATTCCATCAGTGTTTTTGGTTTATAGTTACCCTATTCCACCAGTGTTATTAGTTTATAGTTACCCTATTCCAACAGTGTTTTTGGTTAATAGTTTACCCTATTCCACCAGTGTAATGGGTTAACCTGTTATCCTATTCCATCAGTGTTTTTGGTTTATAGCATACCCTATTCCAGCAGTGTTATTAGTTTATAGTTACCCTATTCCAACAGTGTTATTAGTTTAAAGTTACCCTATTCCACCAGTGTAATGGGTTAACCTGTTATCCTATTCCATCAGTGTTTTTGGTTTATAGTTACCCTATTCCAGCAGTGTTATTAGTTTATAGTTACCCTATTCCAACAGTGTTTTTGGTTAATAGTTTACCCTATTCCAACAGTGTTATTAGTTTATAGTTACCCTATTCCACCAGTGTTATTAGTTTATAGTTACCCTATTCCAACAGTGTTATTAGTTTAAAGTTACCCTATTCCAACAGTGTTATTAGTTTATAGTTACCCTATTCCACCAGTGTTATTAGTTTATAGTTACCCTATTAGTTTATAGTTACCCTATTCCAACAGTGTTATTAGTTTATAGTTACCCTATTCCACCAGTGTTATTAGTTTATAGTTACCCTATTCCACCAGTGTTATTAGTTTATAGTTACCCTATTCCACCAGTGTTATTAGTTTATAGTTACCCTATTCCACCAGTGTTATTAGTTTATAGTTACCCTATTCCAACAGTGTTTTTGGTTTATAGTTACCCTATTCCAACAGTGTTTTTGGTTAATAGTTTACCCTATTCCAACAGTGTTATTAGTTTATAGTTACCCTATTAGTTTATAGTTACCCTATTCCATCAGTGTTATTAGTTTATAGTTACCCTATTCCAACAGTGTTATTAGTTTATAGTTACCCTATTCCATCAGTGTTATTAGTTTATAGTTACCCTATTCCATCAGTGTTATTAGTTTATAGTTACCCTATTCCACCAGTGTTATTAGTTTATAGTAACCCTATTCCAACAGCGTTATTAGTTTATAGTTACCCTATTCCACCAGTGCTATTAGTTTATAGATACCCTATTCCAACAGTGTTTTTGGTTAATAGTTTATAGTTCCCCTTTTCCAACAGTGTTATTCGTTTATAGTTCCCCTATTCCACCTCAGTATTTTGGTAGTTTTCTGTCAGATCATCACTAATCCACCAGTGTTATTGTTAATAGGGTTTCTCTATTCCACCCAAGAATTTTGGTAGTTTCAGTGATCTATTAAATTACTCACCTGTTAAGTTCATCACTAAAATTGTACAGTTCTTAATAGTAAATTAATTTGTCATCAGAATGAGGCCAATTGTACACATTCTTTAACAAAAGGTTGAGTAATATCTTGAATCAATTTTAAAAGTACAGTATAAACTTTGTCCTGCTGCTTAACAGATTTCTAGGAAACTTACTTTTCTCCACATTTTTTTCGTTAGTTTTATCCAGCCCCTTTTATAAACTGATATAAAAAATTTGCTGGGGTCAAGAGCAGTGTGAAACAAAATACAGGAGCACAATATTTCCCAGAAAAAAGTTCTTTAAAATGTCTGTAAGACGTGAATGTTCTTGTTCCCAAACAGGTACTTTGTCACTGTTTGATGAAATGCAAAAGTTTTTAAATGTGACCTTTGACACTTTAATCTCGAACAATGACCATCTCAATATATATTTTAGGTTGAGAACTTTATGTTTTGTAGGTGGAGAACTTGATGTGAACTTGTTGTTTTGTAGGTGTAGAACTTGATGATTCGTAGGTGAAGAATTTGATGCTTGGTATGTGTAGAATTTGATGTTTTGTAGGTGTAGAACTTGATGTTTCGTAGGTGTAGAATTTGATGTTTTGTACTTGTAGAACTTGATGTTTTGTAGGTGTAGAACTTGATGTTTTGTAGGTGTAGAACTTGATGTTTCGTAGGTGTAGAACTTTATGTTTTGCCGGTATAGAATTTGATGTTTTGTAGGTGTAGAACTTGATGTGAACTTGATGTTTTGTAGGTGCAGAACTTGATGTTTTGTAGGTGCAGAACTTAATGTTTTGTAGGTGTAGAACTTGATGTTTTGTAAGTGTAGAATTTGATGTTTTGTAGATGTAGAATTTGATGTTTTGTAGGTGTAGAACTTGATGTCATGATACTATGCTTGTTGAGAGGTATTATAGATATGATACTGGTTCAGAACATGACAATTAGACAAAGGTAAAAAAACATGTATACCCATCCCTCCTAATAAAATGGCAGCAGAATAAAAAACAAGAAAAAGTAAACACAGTTTTACCCAAACAATATTACAAGTTTATTTTCAGTTTCTTCACAGAAGTTCTGTGGTGTACCTTAATAGAATGGCATTTTGAAGTCAACTAAACATTTTAAATGAGACAGTTTTCTTTGATGTAGTTGAAATACTATTTGAAAAACAATAAACATGTTTAAATACAATTTTCGTAGAGTAAATTCTGGCAGATTTTAAAAATTTGAAAATAATGGCATATCCATACAGCCCCAGTCACAGTAAAGTAACAATTTTTGGCTTAAAATGAAAAGAAAAAAAAAATAATGAAAAAATCTACCACATGTATTTGTTTATCATAAAATTTCCATTATTAATGAATAATAATTTGGCAGTTATTTGCTACAAATTCTTGGCAGTTTCAAACAAATGATAATTACTTTTATGACAAAGTTGAAGAAATACCCATTTTGAATTAGTTATCTGGCTTTCAAATATTTTAAAATTCAATACAGTATGGAGTGTACATGTCTCAAGATTAATTGTAAAAAACTTTTTAGAACAATATAATGTTCAAACTTTGAAGTTATTTTACTTAAGAGCTTGCTGCCCTGAAAATATTGCACTGAAATGTGACAGTGCTAATTGCAGCTTCTGAATCTATATATATAGCAATCATTGTTGATGTAGTAATTTGCCAAAATGTCAAAATGTACTTAAATTTGATTTGTGTCAAATTAAGTATGTTTACAGTATTAAAAAGTTTACATTTTCAGAAGAAAATATCATAGCAGTCAATCATTACAATACCTAATACAATATAAAATGTTCAATTTTCATTGTCAGAATTTCGTAATTTATGTAAAAGTTAAAATCTTTTGAAGAAAACACATCCCACATTATTTGAAGTCAAAATCATAATTCAATAACCACTTGCATAGCAAGAGCAATTGTAGCAACAATCAAAGCGCTGTAACTCTGTAAAATGCAGATAAACAATTTCTTATAATTTCAAACCTAAATCCTGATTGACCAGTTTAGACTAATATCAAAATTAAAACTTAAAAGCCTTTGCCAAAACATGAGAGAAAGGCCAAAATTCAATGGTCTTTCAATACTAGGATACTGAAATCTTCTTCAGCAAGTTGTTTGGATCCAATGAGCTCTCATGAAATTACCAAGGTCATTATATAACACACTTTCACATCTTTTGGCTACAAATCTCATGGATGTATTTTAATAGGAAGTTGATTCTTTATAATAGAAGCATCTAAGAAACAATAACAAGAGATCAAAGAGGGATCTTGGCACCCACCATTGTTTGATTAAAATTTGCTCTTTGAAAGTTTTGCAGAAATAGTGCTGATAATCTATACCTGCCAAATCCAAGATGGATGCCTCTAGACCTTTTCCTTTTTCTGATCAGTGCCAAAATTTAAAAAAGGCACAACTAGGGACCAAGCGGAGCCTACAAATGAAATTTGAGAAAGGTACTTCTCAAGAAATAGTGATAGCAAAAATTGTTTATGGACAGACAGACCACAGACATAGGCGATTTAAATAGCCCACCATCTGATGATGTGGGCTAAAACTCTACAAAACCGTATATACATATATAACTGCAGTTTGTAACATTTCATAATTTGTGAAGCAAAAGTGCCATATAGTTTGAAAGATCAACAATCATTTTAGAATATGTTTGGGGTGAACATTTCAACACCAAGAACAGTAATACAACGTAAATTACAAATATAAATATAAAAATGCAACAAAAATTTTCTTTTTAAAGACAGATCAATTTGTTTGAGATTAACCTATATATTATAATTACCTATATAATGCAGGTGCTATGTTTTGATTTAGGGCTATTCCAGTAAAACCTATGCTTGACCCAGGACAAATTAAATCACTTACATCTATTTCAGCAGTTTCCAATAGGTGTTATAGCTGAACAAAACCTTAAGTCCTAGGATGGATAGATGTTTTAATGGAATGGCCCTTACAAATTATTCCAACTTTTGAAAATGCATGAATTTCTCATTTCTGACATAAAAATGATAATATACATGCAAAATTTGTCAATCAATAGAAATTGATATCACTCATTAAAGCATCTACTACAAAGCATAGTACAAACATAAGATATAATATATGGATTGTGGAAACACAAAAAATAGCACATTGGATGTCGCAAAGGCATTAGAAAGGTTATACACATACATAACAGAAGTGCAGACTGTATAATATACAGCAGGGAATCAAGAGATATCCCTTAATGCACCAATTATTCTATATAGTATTTACCATTAATACAGAACATGAATTACACTGAAGTATTTATGTTACATTAATTGGCAGGTTCAAATTTTCCTTTTTGACCTGTAACAAATAAATCACGGTTTCAACTCAAATATTCTTTTTTAAAAAAAAGGAAATTCTGCAAATTTCATTATTGCTTCATATATCAGTGCTAATAATTTCAATGATCTACTTTCATAATGTAAAGACATCATCATGTACCTGATAAATGGATTATTACAATACTTATTTTAGAAAGTTATCCTGTAAATTGTTTTTAAAATAGCTTGCATATCACCAATGTCAACTTACAACATTAAAAAGCCATGAAACACAGTTCAAACTCAAAGCAAATCAAGCTATGGCAATACTTGTATCTAGAATACCCCATTATACAAAACAAGGCACAATTTATTGCAAATATTATGAGCTAGAGAGAAGTATAAACATAATAGAGAAAGTCAGTTGTAACCATCATTCATCAATGGAAATTTTTCTCAACTTTGAAAATGTTTTTCATCAATATCATTGATCATTGAATCTTTCCAATTACTTTCAGGATAATGAAATACTCTGAATCCCAAGTTTAAGATATATTAGATTTCAAATTAATAACAGAACATAATATAAATTATTCTGGACGAAATTGCAAACAATGAAACAAGAAGACTCATTACATTTGTTACCTACCATTAGAATAATTAATGTACAAAGCTTTTCATGAGTTCATATAAGTATCTACTACCTTAATTGGAAAAAAAAACTTGTTGATTTGAGGAAGCAGTTAAGTACACAACCAACAATAAACATTATTTACACAGGCACAAGGTACAAAATGTCAACAACAATTACAAATCATTGGAACTGAGCTCAATGTAAAATAAATAGGCTAATTTCGAAAAAAAAAAAATGTATTAAGTAGTAGCAAAAATTAGTCAACATTTCAACATACATAATATACATAATGTAAATGCATCAACGAAACTTAATGGAATGATAAAGAATTCTTGATATGCAAAAGTTATAAACGAGGTACTTTGTAACGATATGTTTGACTTCAATATATGAATAAATTGAGAGAGATATGGAATGTTACTAGGCCAACTAAATATCACTCTCAGTGAATGATAGAAAATCTCAGGTAGAGGTCACAAGGGTCAGTCTAACTAACCTAGACAGCTGTACACCAGTCTTACAAGGTATTACATACCCGTTTCTTAAGCTGAACTGAACACATTTGAAATCGGCGATATTCATATTACAATTCACATTTAAACATGCATTCATTTTTAACAAAGTCATTCACTCAGTAATCATACATCTTAGTAAATGTTAATTCATACATTTACATCATATTCCCTTAAGTATAAGCTATTTATATATTCCCATTTTCCTTTATTACCATATTGTATACAACTGATTTTATAAAATTAACAACAGCACAAAAAAGCTGAGCGGAATTTACTACAATCATTTATTTTCTATTGTTATTCTACAGCACTAGTTTGCTTCTTGTTTAGTACATTTTACCAGAAATTGATCAATTTCTTTAATTTTAATACTTTACACATATTGATGTATATTTGTAAACACGCAATGCAGTTGTTAGCAAATCCAAGCTTTCCTTATTTTTCTAAGTTAATATTATTCATTTTTAAACAAAATTAACAATAAGATTGTTGGAAAATTCTTTTCTAACACACTAAACAGCTTATAACAATAAAAACAATCAACACAATTTTTTCACTTGTAAAACTCATTACAGTATGTGGTTTACAAATTTCTTTGAACGTCTCTTCTGGAAGTTACCTGTTACCATGTTAATGGTGATACAAAGGAATGATTATCTGTAGGTTTGAGATCTTTAGTAACCATTACGATGAAGGCACCAAATCATAGCGATGTTTCCTGCATAACTTCCGTAGCCTCAGGAACACCCAAAGGTCTTTAAACTTATGATAAGAATAGAACATTATACAAAATAAACAAGATAATACTGGAAGTAGTTGAGTCCTGATATTACAAGTGATATTGTCTCCCTAAGATATAAATCCTTCAAAGTCTGACGATAAATCTCAGTCTCAAAATTCTAGATTTCAAAATTTATGTATCTAATTAAATTCAGTTAAAAAACTTACAAGAACTTCAGGCCTGAGTACTTTTCTAGCAATTTTGGAGTCGAAATACAAACTTGTTCCACATTTTCAGATTTTTTACAATGAATATAACACTGTAGCTAATGGTACCCTTTTGAAACACATTTATACAAGTAATTAAAGATACATAACGCTAATATTTTAGATGTTGTGACAGTAAAATTTCCACTGTATTAACAGTATGTTGCCATCAATTCCCAGTTCTACTATAACCCCTCCAGGTCTTCATTGCTGCCAGTACTTGATCGTCTCCTTCTGAACAGAACACGTTTGGGGTCAGGCAACTTTTCAGGTGAGCTTTGTTTCCCAGGGGAGGTATGGAGATTATCACATGACTTACATGGACCAGATAACAGAGACTCTGAGCTTAATGCTTTCTTCACTTGGGGCTCCTCCTCAGGAGAGTATTTGTCCTCCTTCCTCCTAGGAATAAAAACATTGTGCTACTATCTGGTGTTAAGTAAACTTCTGCAAAATTAGGGAGCAGCATTATAAAACAAATTGAGAATTCTGTAAATGTGATGTCCTGTATGTATCAGATCTATAAATGTGTACCTACTTTGGGAGTGTTCTCCTCTCTGTATTAGATCTATAAACTTGTACCTACTTTGGGAATGATCTCCCCTCTGTATCAGATCTATAAATGTGTACCTACTTTGGGAGTGTTCTCCTCTCTGTATTAGATCTATAAACTTGTACCTACTTTGGGAATGATATCCCCTCTGTATCAGATCTATAAATGTGTACCTACTTTGGGAGTGTTCTCCTCTCTGTATTAGTTCTATAAACTTGTACCTACTTCGGGAGTGATCTCCCCTCTGTATCAGATCTATAAACTGGTACCTACTTTGGGAGTGATCTCCCCTCTGTATCAGATCTATAAACATGTACCTACTTTGGGAGTGATCTACTCTCTGTATCAGATATTGTACCTACTTTGGGAGGTCTTTTGGAGTGATCCCCAGGACACGGTATAATTCTGTGGTGGACGGAGTTTTAGGTTTACTGGACGGAGCTGGTGAAAACATTGGTGTGGACGGCAAGAGTCTGGTTCCTTCACCTGATAAAACAAGATAACGAAAAGAGTGACATTATCTCCTGCACCCTGCTGTTTAAAAGAAAGAGACACACAATTATATATATATATATGTGTATATATGTAAATATTACAACAAGCTTCATTTCTATTTCTGATTTTTGATTGTTCCATACAAAGTATTGAATGGAGAACTAAAGTACTAGCTTGATGCCTGTACAAAGTTTTGAGTACCAGGTAATGACCTTGATCAGTTTAAGAGAACTGGTCTGAAAAACTGAATTCTGTGATTTGGCCTATCTGTTTCCATCGTAACAGAAAAAAGTATTTCAATGCAGAACTTCCCCATAGCAAAAGATACTACTAGCTTAATAAGTGTAAAAAGTTTGAGCTGTTATCTTGAACGATTTCAGAGAACTGGGGAAAAAAAATTGAAATTTGTGATAAGGGTTATCTGTTTCCATTGTAACAGAAAAATTCTAACTAGGGAACTAACCTGATATATACAGACAGTTTTGTGGGGTTAAGTGGAATGGTTTCGAAATTGTAGACCAGAAAGGAAAGCTTACATTAATTTTGTGATTTTTACCTTTTTCCACAGTAACAGGAAAAATATAGAAATTGTGATGTCATCAATAGCAAAAGGCACAACTAGGGCACTAACTTAATAAATACAGCAAGTTTTGTGAAGTAAAGTTTAACGGTTTTGAACCCATAGCCCGGAAAAGTCCTCGAACGGATGGACCAACAGACCCAACAGACAGAGAGAGTCCAAATGAATATATCCGCAAACACTTTTCATGGGGGATAATAAAGGAGAAAAGAGGAGCAATTAAGTACATATGAACTATTCTGACTGAAGCATAATGTATCAGAGCATGGAATTCAATGTCATAAAAAACAGTAGAAAACACAAACATTACTACACCGAGATGGTTCATTAACCTACCTTTATGGGACCTTCTTTTGGAGGGAGTGGCTTTTACAAATGGTGAGATCTGTAGGAACTGGTTGATAATGGATGATCTCTCATCATCCAGAGCTTTTCTCTGTATTGTGGGGAAAAAATATATATTATACAAAACAAGATAGAAGTTATGGTCTGTTTCTGAAGTCATGTTTCAACACAAAGTATTGGCAAGGGTGGTTGAGTGGTGCAGTGGTAACACACTCGCCTTTCACCTAGCCGACCACGGTTCGATTCCCGGAATGGACGTGAAAAGGTAAGGGGTCACCTGCCCGACCACGTGGGTTTTCCTCGGGTACTCCAGTTTCCTCCCACAATAAGACCGCTCGCGCCCTTACATCCGGGCCAACAAGAGTGATTAGTACAACTTGACAAAACTTGTTTCGCAATTGTTGTAAAATAAATAAAGTTTATATTTATTGGTATGATAGAGAACATCACTACATACTGAACAACCAGACAGAAACCTGGTAAACCTGAGTCGGAAAAAAGACTGATATGTTTTGCTATGCAGGGGTTATATGACGAATATCATGCTGTTTTCTAGAAAACCTTGAGCTTATTCAACTCGGAAAATGATGAAGGTGAGCTTACCTCCCTGCCTTATCATGCTGCCTCTGTGTCAATATCATATCCATTTACCTCCCTTCTCAATCATATATCTGCCTCTGTGTCCTTATCATATCCATTTACCTCCCTGCCTTATCATGCTGCCTGTGTGTCAATATCATATCCATTTACCTCCTTCCCAATCATATAGCTGCCTCTGTGTCCTTATCATATCCATTAACCTCCTTCCCAATCATATATCGGTCTCTGTGTCCTTATCATGTCCGTTTACCTCCTTTCCTTATCATAAACCTGCCTCTGTGTCCTTATCATATCCATTTACCTCCCTTCCCAATCAAATAGCTGCCTCTGTGTCAATATCATATCCATTTACCTCCCTTCCTTATCATAAACCTGCCTCTGTGTCCTTATCATATCCATTTACCTCCCTTCCTTATCATACAGCTGCCTCTGTGTCCTTATCATATCCATTTACCTCCCTTCCTTATCATATAGCTGCCTCTGTGTCCTTATTATATCCATTTACCTCCCTTCCTTATCATATAGCTGCCTCTGTGTCCTTATCATATCCATTTACCTCCCTTCCTTATCATATACCAGCCTCTGTGTCTTTATCATATCCATTTACCTCTCTTCCTAATTAATAGTTGCCTCTGTGTCCTTATTATGTCCACTTACCTCCCTTCCATAATTAAATACCTGTCACTACGTCCTTATTAAGCACACATACCTCCCTGCCTAATCGTATAGCTGCCTCTGTGTACTGTTTCCGTTCTTCCTCAAAGTTTGCCTTTTCTTGGTAAAACAGGCGACGTTGCTCAGACAAACTCTCTTGCTCCTGTAGGACGCGCTCCTGTAGGAGGATTGACTCATCGATGTACGACGTTTCTGCTGCTGCCTTCGATTGGTTGAGCATGGATTGTTGTAAATTTCCATTCATTAACAAATATCATATTAACATCTGAATATGAAACCTTGGCTAAATATAGTTTAGAAAAGAAAAGCGTGATCAATGAATAAAATTGACCATATACCAAACAATACATAATGTTCTCTGTTTTACCATGAAAACTTCATGTTAAACAACATCCACCTAAAATGATAAATGTTATATTTCATAAATTGAGAGTTGAGATGTTCTTACTCGGGCAAAAGCCCAAGTGAGCAGGGTCCCGCCATGGAGACTAGCCTCTCTCCTGTCTGGCCGTCAGGAATCAATACTAACTGGCTAGAAAAGTGGTCGTATTTATACTAGCCATGTTAATAAACTGATTAAGTACTATTACACATTAGCTAAAAAGTAACCTAGGATTGAGTACTATTTGAGTTATGGACATGGTCTTACACACAACAGATGTTGGTAATAAATTAACAAAGGCAGATACATAATGATGAAACATCTGACTTATGTCTAGCACAACTTTGAATAATTTAATGTTACATATTAACTTTTAATAGTTCGCACCTCCAGATAGTAAGGTCTACTTTCGGTTTACATGTATAATATAAAAGACATTTCCCTGGTAACTTGTTGACATGAACACACCTGAATGAATTCTTTCTGCTGCTGTATGATATCTCTGTATTGCTGGACCTGTTTCTGTAGTTTTTCAGTATCCACACTCGGTACTCTTTGTGCTGCCGGGCTGTGTCGTGGGGGACTAGATTTGGTCTTTTCAAGCTGACCTACAGCATAAGAAATTAATAAACTATTGTCAATTTAAATTTCAAAATATTTAAGTGGAAGTCTTAAGTCTTTTCCACACTTTGATGATATTGTCTTTGATCATAACAGGCAAATATTGAATTATTAATGTTGAAGATGAAAATATGATGAAAATTCTCCAAACCTTAAAGCATCTTGGCTCACAGATCACTCCTATAGCTAATTATGTAAGATCTTGTACTTACTTGGTGATATGTTTCTTTTGTCCATGGATTTCCTGATGAGTTTAAACATCTCCTTAAAAGAATGTCGTAGGTTGTCTTTCATCAGGCCATAAGGCATTTGGAAATAACCTTTAAGAGTAAAATTTAGATCTGCTTTGTAAGTTATCACCAAAGAAAAATAAAGAAGTCAATATGGTGAACAAATAACTATTGCATATTTTCATACATAAAATTTAAAGTAAATGATAACGTGTACAACCTTATGGACTTAAAACTATCACGTATGTCAAACAAAATTTCTCTAACTCAAAAGTGTTCCTCAAATATGACTCATATTTTTTTAAAACAATTTTTAATACAAGTTGTAAATAAAAATGTACCATCTGAAAGGTCGTTGATAGTGACAGAGAAAATACCATCATCTTCATCTTCACTGGTGACACCTAATTCCCCAGCATTGTCCTGTAACAAGAAAGAATCTTATGTACATGGAACTAGTATAAAAAAATAAATGAAGCTATTTTGCCACTTCAGCTTTAGTTGTAAGATCAAAACCAGAGTGCTTGTGTTACCCTAGTCTGATTATTCCCATCGGATTGTGTGACTAGTTGGACATCAGACTAACTTATTAAATGGACTGTATGTCTAAAAAAGATATATACAGTAGTGGCTTACTAAATGGAATTTGTGAGAAGTTAGGATGACCCAATAACTTATTTTGTGGACAGTGTGACTCGATCAGTTATCACATCTGATTAACCGAGGGTCTGAGACTGGTGTAGAACCATAGGACTAGTCATGTAGGGTTCTACCACCCAGGTATTACCAGAGAGATTCATCAGTAGAACTGTAGGACATGTGCAGATATTGATGAGCTTATATAAACCTGAGGAACTAACTGCGACCAGATTTATCAGTAGAACTGTGGCACAATGTTCAGTAATACAGGAGCTTATATTTACCTGTGTGTCTGTATGACTAGTAGGGACATCAGATGAGTGGTTTATGATGGTGCCTAGTTCACGCTGCATGAGTACAAGGCAGTCTCGGAGATCTGTATTTTCTATCATTAGTTCCCGTTGTTTGTCCTCGTAGTTATTAATAACTAGTTGGTACATTTCTTCTTGTCTGTAACCATCAAAACAATTACCTCATAACCTTTTCAGTCTTCAATATAAGACACTTATGTTCAATTCAAATGGTGTCCCTAATTGTTTTAAATATAAAACTACAGACATCTTTAATGTCATTATTTCAACTAAATTCATTCCTAAATTCCTAATCTATATATCATTGTCTGGGAGATTGATGCAGGAAAAAGACAGGTAGTGTATCAATAAAGAATTAAGTATCGCTAATCAATCCAACTGAGTATTTGGAGTTGTCTTGGATTAAATTGACAGAGTGATAAAATATGGCGTAAAACCTTCTGAGATTCTACTCTTAGTCCTGTATTTGAAGAATTTGATTAGAAATCAAATACATCCTAGACTTACTTGTCATGTGACCCTGTTTTCCACTGACTCCGTTTGCCATCTGCTCGTTGTAAAGCATTTGCAATGTCAAGACCTGTAAAAATTAACAAACATTTTAACGGGTCAATTCATCTTAACACTTAACTTTATATTGTTAATAGTTCTTTTAACATCACATATTAAGTGAACATCACTATCTGAATCACTATCCCTCTTCCTAAGAGGATTTTTATTGTGATATATTTGCTTTAAACTAAATTTTCTACTCATTCTCTTATGAGGATTTCTAAGTGCCCTGACTTTGCTTTAAATCAAATTCCTTACCCTTTCTCCTATGAGATATTTTATCTGAAATGACTTTGCCTAAATTGAATTCCATACCCATTCTTCTGTGAGGATTTTTGTCCGTTATCAGGTGGTGCAGTTTTTCTTTCATTTTATTGATTTCTCGCTCCTTTTTCTTCAGTTCATGTTTATACTGGGCGTCTCTATCCTTAATAACACACTGTAGTCGCTTCACCTGAAAAGACAGAGATATACTAACATGAACTTTACCTTTGACAAAGACATACCTCAAAACTACATCTGTATTGACCGAGATATACTTGTAAACTTAAAACAACATAACGACTTGTGACCGTAAACTTAGAACTGTAAACAGATGCCAGGGACAGTATATTAGCTAACAGTTACTTGTAACCAACAGCTTAAAACAAGATTGATTTTGTGTTTTCTAGGAGGGATGGGCCACTTCCGTAGACTGATGGGTACCAGATTTATATCAGGTCATTAATCAATCTCATCCAACATTTACAATGCTCCAACCCGCTACATGTACTGAGGTTATAAACTGTAGTCTGTGTAGTGAAAATCCATTATCTGTCTCAGAGAGGATTTAGTCTTAAAACCAAGAGATCATATTAAATACAGATAACATTCACATATTTAAGAAAACAACCAGATAACAGAACCTCCATCATGTAACTCACAGAAGCAGTCATTATCCTCAATATCTCTATAAACTGCAAATTTAAAAGTATAGCCCAGACCAATGTGACAGTAATGGTGAAAATCATTCCCTACTAAGCATCTCAAATGGTTTGATTTTGAAAATGGAGTATAGTGCATACTTAAGATGAGACCTGTTGGATGTTTTGGAGTTATTCACCATTTAATTACTATATTCTCCAATGCTTAAAATCTCTAAGACTTGTTTGCATATTACTTTCAATCCCAAGCTGTACTTGTAGGTTTTCAGCTTTATTTTGCTAAATGCATCATTGTATTATTAATTTTAAAAAATGTTGATCAATAATATATACACACACAGATCTACCTAATTATTTTTCTTCAAAACAACTTGTACACTAAATTTTAAGCTAACCAGCCTCAGCAGTACTACAGCTAGTTAACATGGGCCAAAAAAGAAATGGAATCCCAAAACTGGCAATTTGATTTGTTTCTGTCAACTTGCTAAGATCTTATTTCAGTGTAATTATCGGTTTTATTGAGTCAAACTAATGATTTCAAATTGGAATTTCCTATCCAGCAGTGAATCAGAATTCCTCTCAACTCTTTGCAGTGTCTGAACTATTTTAATGAGAATCTTCCATTACCTCAAATCTCCGTTTGAGATTTTTGTACACTGGTGAAATCCTTCAGAATCTTAACAAATCTGTCAACATCATTTCAGGCCTATGATTGGTTTTCTTTTTCAATTAAAAAAAATCCCATATACCATGAGCATTATCAGGAGTAGCATAATGTTAACATTGAGTTTAAATAGTTATATCAGATTAAAATCCAGTAACATTATATAATTTGGTACAACATGAGCAATACCTATCCTTGTGAGTGACAAATTCAATTAAAGGAATTTCATTTCAGTAAAACCATTAATTGTTGATTCCCACAGCACATATTTTAGCTCCACTACAAATGTATTATGCACAATGTAAAAGTTTAAACTATCTCGATAACACTATTTTTACCTAGAAATTTTCATTACTTTCTTTTTCCTCAGTCCTAAATTCTTTAAAATCAAATTACCTAGGATCTCTCATGATTTGTTGCATCATAACTGAATACCATTTTCATGAGACAAATCAGATTAATTTCCAAAATAGCAAGATTGCATGGCCCTATTTTGCATCAAGAATCTATTAGATGAACTAAACAGCAATTTTTCTTTCGAAATAATCCGTAGCTTACCAATCTTAAAAGACAATATAAAACACAGGCAGGAAGGGATTTGGTACACATGCATTATATATACCCAGTACATGTAAGCAAGTTAAAATGAGAATTCTGAAGCAGCTTCCACATCTAAGCCCCAAATAGACAAAAAAAGCACCATGCAATCTATGGCAATAGCACTCCTATCACTTTACTGATTATACAGTTTTTGTTTGAAAAGTATACATGGATATCTCATACAATTACAAACCTGAGTCTTTTGAAATTGAAAAGAAATTCCTGAACAATAAAACTTTTTTTTTTTTAATTAATTTTTTTTATTCAATAAAATGAACTGACACAGTTATACATGTGAGAAACACTCCTCCACACAATCATTTTCACCTCCATGATTACATGTATACTTGACCACACACATACAGATGTACATCAAGAGAATACTTGCATAGTGAACAATAAAACTTGCAGTCTAGATCTCTTTTAATGTAAGACTGCAGGTGACCTGTTTCTTTATTGTGATTCATGCAGTTTGGGGAATTACTACACACACCTCAGCACATTTTTTTTTTTTTACAATTTTTCTCCCTTTTTATTCCTTACTTTATATTTTTTTCAATTTCCTTAAATCTATACTATATGTTTTATCTATATTTTCATAATCTGTTATACTTAGAACCTGCCCTGTATTTTTTCCTTTTTTTTAATGCGACTAACATGAAATATAGACACCAACCATTATCCATATAGGGCACTTGCTACATGACAGCTTGAGAATGGGAAAGGTAAGAGAGGTGTTATTACGTTCCTTGATATGGTATAACACCACTATAGGGTAAACATAATGTAATTGTCTGTGGCAGCCTTTGTATTGGAACATTAATCACCAGATTATCACTACATCTGACACACAGACAAAACATGAAACAAGCAAACAGCATGTAAAAACATTAACCATCTCTGTGATACTACACAGACAACAAGGTTCATCACTATGTCTATTCTGGGAATTAACACCCACAGACTGGATGTTTTATCCTTATAAGGCTAAAAACACACCATGCGCTACAGAACTTAGTTCTACATGATACTTAAAGTAGAGGTTTTTGTTTTGTTAAAAATTCAAATCATTTAACAGGTACCTTTAGTGGTGCATGCAATAATATTACTTTTAGTAAAAATGATAAAACAAAGAAAATGTGAGTACAAAGATCTGTTTATCATCAAGATGATCAAAATAGGTCAGCTATTTATACACCAATTTGTAAAAGCTTCTCATAAATGATGTAACATTAAGTACTTAAGTTGGGATTAATCATACGACTTTCCTTTATTATACACAAAATATTGACTTTTTGATATGTATAAACTTGCTATACATGTCAACACAGCCTACACTATAACTAGACTGTACACTAAGTCTTTGCACTAACGTCACCAAGGTACGACAGACAGTTGCAAATTATCAACCAATTTTGAGATGTAGACAATTTTCTGTAACCAATCTATCCTTTTTTCCGAAAGGGTCTCTTATAATTACATTTGTTGAAGTTGGAAGAAAAATGTCACTTTCTGTGAAATTTTTCTTTTCATTATTGAATTTTCTCTATTAAGACAAAACAGATGACTGCTGGTAAGGAAATAACAAAGAACTGACTGGTCAACAAAACATTGATTTAAACTCAACTTCCATAAAACTAGGGCAAAATATAAATAAAAGAGAAATTTATATACAGGAAAATAAGACAAAGTGTTCAAGAAGGTAAGCATACGAGAGTATCTGTGATATGATAGCCTGGCCAAGCACCTCTACACAGAACCCTTGAAATATGATGTTTTGAGTATAACCCACAAATACGAATTTTCCTGTTCATCATTCAAAGTACAATGCTTACATGGTGGTATAGTCTGGTCATTTTATTTTTCATATACTGTATTCGACCCAATAAGTGCCCATGTCCCTATAAATGCCCCTTCCCCCTTCAGATCCCTAAAAGTCTAGATTTACTTACGTTTTCTTCATGATCAAGAAATGTTTTAAGTCGGTTTATAAGGAGATATACTCCAGAAAAAAGAAAAAAATTTTTATATCTAAGATGGTTTTATTGCATGTAAAAAAACTAGTGATTTTATAGATACATGAACCATACAGTAAATTTGTTAGTACTGAATGTGTTTCTTTTACACTTAAGATGGTCTCTAATTAATAAGCCCCCCCCCCCCCCTTAATTGCAATTTTTAAGTGCCCTGGGTGTTTATTGGATCGAATACGGTAATAAAGTAATACGCATTTTGATTTAAGAAAATTCTGTCCTCTGGATGTAACAGGGAAGTACCAATTACAGAGACTTTACAAACGGACACAAAAACCACTTTTTCAGCACTTTAATATAAAATTTCTACCACTCTGCTACAAATTAAGGACATCCTTAAATTGGAATTTAGTAGAATAACAAGGATCTCTTTTCAAAGGTCATAACACCATTTAATAATGAGTTCATTTACTATTGCTATCAAAGTTTCTTGTTAAAAACGAGAAATATCTCCAGAAGTTATTCACGTCATGGTTAAATAGTCTCAGGCTTTCACAAATTATTTCCATTGACCAATCAAATGAAGTGTTATAACCATTTAATCAGTGATATCTCTTGACTATGTTGTATTACCTTAGACATTCCAGAAAGCATTGTAAACCAACAATTATTGATATAATGTATGATGTTTACCGTTATGAAAACCAACGTCAAACAATGATCATTTTACTGTCAACTTTATCATTTTACTTCTGTGCTCTGAACACATATCTCTTTAGGTTGGTTTGTTGACAAGTTTTCAGTCTCTGCGACTCCTCCCATTTCTGTCTCATTGACGAACATCATTGTTCTGTAGCGTTGTTAACACTTATCTCCCAATGAGTCGAATTATTTGCACATGTCTCACTAATGACAATGTCATATGAATTTTCCTCCTGTTTAGATTGTTTAGATGCAAAATCTGGTATGAAAATAATCTCTAACAAGTATTTTATAAAAATGGGAGCAATTTATCATCACTACACACAACTTCAACTATAATGTTCCACAGTTTTACCACACAAATGTATATCTCTATCTACACATAATGTTATATACAAACCTCATCTTTCTCAGTCTTGAATTTCTCTGCCAAGGACTTCTGTTTAATGGCAAATTGTCTGCATTTTTCCTGTTCCTTTGCCACTTCACGTTCCAACTGAATCTTTTCATTCTTTAGGCGATGGTTTGAGCTCTGGTAGTGATCGGTCTCACTCGACAGTCGGCGTAGTCTGTAATAGATAAATGTAATATACCATTAGTCATATGGTTATTACCACAAATTATGTCACAAGCAACAAAAGAAGAGTAAACAGATATCGGGAGCAAAATGAAATAGCAAAAACCGTCTTTTTCTCCAGTTTTGTATACATCTATCCATGATATGATTCAATATAACATGTTGCACATATTTAGCTATATTTTCTTGGCTAATGCCAATTATGGTAAAACCTTCTAATGACAAAAAATATGTCATACCTTTAGATGCAAAAACAGCAAAAAAGGCAAAAATAGTCTTGAAAACACATGTTTACATTAAATGGTAATGAAATTCTGTAGAACTCCAAACCATTAAATGATAATGGAATTATCTTTAACTTCAAACCATTAAATGATATTGAAATTCTCTATTACTTAAAACCATTAAATGATATTGAAATTCTCTATTACTTAAAACCATTAAATATTAATGGAATTCTCTATAATATTAATGAAATTCTCTAGAACGCCAAACCATTAAATGATATTGAAATTCTCTATTACTTCAAACCATTAAATATTAATGAAATTCTCTATTACTTCAAACCATTAAATATTAATGAAATTCTCTATAATGGTAATGAAATTCTCTATAACTTCAATCCATTAAATATTAATGAAATTCTCTATAATGGTAATGAAATTCTCTATAACTTCAATCCATTAAATATTAATGAAATTCTCTATAATGGTAATGAAATTCTCTATAACTTCAAACCATTAAATATTAATGAAATTCTCTATAATGGTAATGAAATTCTCTATAACTTCAATCCATTAAATGATAACAATATATCTAGTGCTCCAAACCATCAGATGATATATTGCCCACCCATGTATCGACAGTAGCTGTCAGAAAATTATTCAGTTACCAAACAATCTCCAAATTTACAAAATAATTTATAAATGTAAAGCAATGGAGAATCAGATAAATAACATCCTTATCACCAACACAAAATCTCATTATCTTTAATATACTAATCATTCAAAAATATTTACAAATTACATTTTGGAGAAAAATTGACACGAAACTAAATTCATTTTGGTAAGGCATAAGATCATTGACTGATTAAAAACAGTTCATACTTTGTTGCTATGATTTAACATGTTTTTCAATATGACAATGAACCAGATATTTTTCTAGAAAAATAAATTAAAAAATAATGCAATCTCTCAAAAAGATAAACCCATTCTAACTCAGTATGTACCCATTTTCTTTTTAAAATTATGGTCCTATTGTCTCTGGTAAGATATGGTAAGGGAATTAAATCACATTAACAATGATACATACACAAGAAACCTCACAGCAAACTGAATTCATTATCGAAGAATGGACATATTTGATATAAGAATAAATATATTTGATATAAGAATAGATATATTTGATATAAAAATGAACGTACTTGGTATAAGATTGCTGATGGATTTTTTCAATCAACATTAAATATCCACGTAAATGCAGTAGAGTTAGCTAAAGATGGACAAGGTCATAAAAATGCAATGATTTCAGTGTCACAAAGTAAAACATGTAAACAAGAACTCTTTAACACTATAATACTGGAAATTGAATGTCTTATCAACCTATCATGTGTGTTTTTAGGAAGTTCAGCTGTTTTACTCATGCTTGTATGTTCATTTCAAGTTTAACACCTATGATAGATGCAGTAATATAACAATGGGTAGTATAAACATTGCTGTCAAATATTTTATGTTAGACTTGAAAGCTCTCTATCTTTTTGAGAAACATTTGTTATATTACTACCATTGATTAAACAAGTACTGCTCTGTTTAATCACTGCTATGTCTCAAGTTCGACAGACATCAAGCCCTAATACCAGTAGGGTGTTAATTTTGTTCCTAAATTGCTGCAACATGTTAAGAAAAGTAACCTATGACTAGCAAACGATCAATGATCGTCACAAAAGAATTAGATATATGGTTACACTGAGGAAACTTTTACAAGGAGCAGAAGGTGAGACTTTCTACTCAGTAAATTACAGCTCCAGAAGTCATTAGGATTTTCTTTAATTAGGTTTTCTTTTTCGGAATTACACTTCCTATGGGTTAGAAGCACTTCTCAAGAAATTGAGTTTTGAAATATCTGGATTAAATCATGAGAGAAATTCATTAAGTAAGAGATTTTACAATAGTACATGTACCAGGTTATGATTATCAATTCTACCAAGGTAGTAAAATGTCAGTATTAACTTCCTGATAAAGTACCTGTTTTCAAGCTCTTCTCGTACACGTCTGGCCTTCTGATACAATCGGAATATTTCATACAACCTGTTGACCAGGGACACCTCTGTAGTTCCTTCTCCATTATCGATGGTCTGGAAACCCAAAGCGGTCAGTTCCTACAATGACAAATTATTTTCTGTAAATATATCGGTCACAAGGTCACTTCTCAATAGAGAAGTATTCATAGATGGAGATTTCTATCCTTTGCATAATGAACCAGGACTCAGGTGACTCTACAATTCTATCAAGATTAGTCAGGCTAAATGTAATTCTCCTCTTTATCTGTAAAGATATCACCGATGAGCCACACTTTGTCTGGTAAAGCTGTTAGTGAATCTAAGATTAAGTCTAGCTCTAAGTTCCAATGGTATGACCATTGTCACATTTTTGTTTGCAGCTTTAGAATAACATTTATTTCTACCAATTTTTATTTTCTTCACCTGCTAGATTTCAACAATTTTGGGCCTTTAGGCAGTGTAGATGAGTCCTTAAAGAACAACACTGGCTTTTTGCACACTGTATCAAACTATAATTTTTTTCAATTTGAAGAAGATATTCATTTGGGTGTCCTTCCTACAATTTATCTGCCTTGCACACACTCGTGAAATATTTTAAGAAACTGATTTTCAATAAATATTCAAAACATGCTATTAACAAGTGAGAACTTAAAGAGCACATAACTGATACAGGAGTACAAATTACATGTACCTTCAATGTTACATGTAATTAGTGGACCCATGAATGTCTATCCCCAACCATGCATTCTTTCTTAAAATAACCACAAATACTGTCAGGTTAGTCCTGTACTTGGGAGGTACCTATGTATAATAAGTATATCTCATACTAATGAACAGAATGGATAGGATGACTATAAAAGAATTGTACAAATTGTTGACCAGTCTTTGTTATCAGATCTCCAATACCTTTATTACAATGTAATTCATTCCAAAATATACACATAGAGTGATAAATAGGTACCCAATATACCAAATAAACACATCCACAGCTTATACTGGACTTACACCTGAGATCTATACACTACCAACATTGTCACTGTATCCTACCCTATACACAAACACACATACACAATGGTTAACACAGAAATCAATACCTAGGACCACAGATATCCTATTAATTATGCGGTCCATTACTTTACAACATTACAGCTGACGAGAAATTCTGTTACCTGTCCTAATTACATGTCTGCTGTGCACACCTGAAAAGGTGTGTGTACGCGTCTAGTATTACTCTTTTAACTGTTGGTCTAAAAGTTACAATGTAAACACAAATGTGTGGTTAGCTCAGTCAGTCAATAGTAAAGACAAGCATAAAACAGTTACAATGAGAGCCATGTCACTACATGAATGGACTTCAATGTAAATGAGGAAAAAGTGTGTGTATTTCATGCCATCTGATATCAATGAACAACTAGAATCCAACTCTTACAGACCGTTATATGAAGCTATGATATAATATCTGATGATTTTACAGCCATCTTGCAGACAAGAAACCATACATGTTTACCTGATATGTTGAAAATATCTCCTTCCACAGATATACTGTATTAAATCACCTCACAACTGTAATAGGTACAAAGGTAAAAGTCTTACCTGGTTTAGAAATGTAACGCTATCATCCACATTCTCAGAACAACAAAAGGTATTCTCATCAGTTTTATCCAGGTACGAAAAGGACGATGACGGTGAGTTCACCGTATAGTTTGTCGCTGTCATTGCACTGAGTGAAGCTGTGACATCACGACTCCCGTATAGGGTCAGGTAGTCCCTCCCAGCATTCCTCAGGACGCTCCAGTCAGCCATGCTGTAAAGAGAATTGTAGAATGGCAATCAATACAGAAGGGATCAAATCCAGGTCGTTCTGCATGCCGTGTAGGAGACAAGACAAAGAGGATTTCTTTATAGTACTGTGGAACTGTTATGTATTATCTGGTCTTCAGTACACCAGAAGGAATGCAGCTATCTGTAGTAAATCTCTATATCTGATTCTGATCACTATTTGTTATAAAATCAACATGTAGCACAATCCTGATACAAGCTCCTAATAATTGTTGGTCAACAGAAAATTTCATAAATAGACAGCAGTCTATACACATTATACTACTTCAAGTGCTTTCACCAAAGTGTCATAATACACCTATTGGCCATCACCATTCATATGTCTAGGCCCATTGTAAATATTAATGTCAATATTAATATTTTGGAGTTGTATTCCTATTAAATGCAGGACTTTGTATTTACATTATAATTGATGAAGTATGAAAATGTTTTATGTGGTCATACCACTGACACAACTGAAATCATGTCAACCGTTAAAATCACCAATCATAATCAAATTCACTCCTAATTTTGTTTTGATTGAAAGTCTTATTTCCTTTCACTATGAATCCTCTCCAAGAGTCGTCTAAAATCAAAAGTTAATGTAATATGAAAATTGCAAACAGATCAAAACATTCCACATATAAATGCCTGTGAACATTCCCATCTAAGAGTTAGGTAGCAATTTCTTAAGCTAAAGATGTGAAATAATATCTAACTTTGGGACAGATTCAAGAACATACATTACTAGGGTTTGATAAATAAAACAGCATTCTTGTTGGTAAATTCATGCTTTCAGATTTTCAACTGTTCAATATCAAAATCTCTTGTTACTTTTCTCTTAAAAACTTCCATACACAGTGTGTCTATTTTTTCATCATAATCTGATAATCACATCAAATATATATCTGTCAGTTGATTTCAAATCATTTAGTAGATAGAGTTTTGGCCTCATAACATCAGGTGATTTTCTGAGACACATGGTTCAATACTCCCTAATCATGGCAGTTTGTAATTCTCAGGAAACTTGCACCTTTCTGTGATATCATTGTTGTATCACTTAACACATGTGTAGTGTAAACCACGCACTAGATATCTATACAATAATGTCATTATTTCCCTTTTCATATTTGCAAATGTAAATGTCTGTAAATATTATCAAAGAGGTCAGTTTACCTTCTCCACAAACAAATGTGATTTCCCCATTTCCCCACATAAATCAGAAAACAGTGACAAAAATCATCCAAAAGAGATTCCTATTAAAGTACTGATTATGATGTCTCTAGAAATAAATGATGATAACACTGACAGATTTTGTTGGTGAACACTAGAGTCTGGCCAGTAAACAAGATCCCATGACCTTGGGAATCCTCAGGGGACATGATTAATACTTGTATAATGAAAAAAGGCAAGATCATTTAGAACAGGAAGCCCAAGTGTCCACAATAGGATAAGTCTATATAAGGATATCAGCAGTATATGTTTGGCGCCAATGACACAAATACACAAGTTAAACAAGGAGACACTACTGATATGTTTGCTTGGAAGAAATACTTCAGTTGCGTGCAATAATTCACTATAATCTTCATGGTGTAATGCACAGTAATTCATATTGCTTCAACCTAATGCAATATTTAAAATGTTCAGTATTGATAAAATTACAGCAGTAGCTGGATAGTTAAATCAAGGATACAAGTTGATAATAATCTTATTTCAAAAGACATGGACATTACAAAACAAACTTTTCTATTTTTTTTCTTAAAATGTGAACTTCAAATTCAGCCAACTTCAACAATAAATTATGTTGAGCAATTTTGTCCTGTTTAAGCATAAATTAACTGGACAAGTTTTTTCTGATAAGAATATGGAAGATCATGTACAGATTGATACCATCTTGCAACTGATATGGCCATTCATAAAATCCTGTACAAGTATACAGACTAACTTAGGTTAAATAGCTAAATGACAAAATGAAATCATACCTTGTTCCAAGTACGTGTATAGTATCACATAGTAAGGAGATAGTATTTCATTTGATTACAAATTTCAAAATCAAAATCAAAGTTAATGTTTTTGTTTGTGAAAAGAGATACTAAAGAGGTATATAGTTGCTACACATAAACTAATATAGCCCATGAATGTTATGTATCAATAATGATTCAATTGGAATTCTCAATACTCCTATAATTGCCATAATTTTTTAGCTTACTGTATATATATTTAAATGTACTTCTGAAATAAGCCTTCTCAAGCTCTGAAGTGTAAAGCTTAGAATTAGTTTGGGAATGACTTAATAGTTTATAGATTATTTTTTCTAAATTGATGACTCTGCAAAAACGCAAAAAGGAGGCGTAATTGCGGGCATGGGCTTATATTTAGATAAATATGGTAAACACCAAACCTTTACATACATTTAGCTGAGACAGGTTTGATGATACCAACATGCAAGCTATCATCAGCTGATACTGGTCTATATACATATATATATATAAACTTACTGAAAAAGTCAATGTAAAGTAAATTGTATGCTGTGTTAATATATCTGTGTGAAAAATCACTGTCAAATCTAAGAAATCAATATTATTTTCCTTTCTCATGATGGAGGAACGCGTGACAATCACAATTACATAGCAGTGACACAAATACCATATCAAAACCTCGAATAATGTACCTAGTATATACATACAGCAATACAACCATGTCTCACATTACATCACATTTTCACTCAAATACACAAATACATGTACCCATTCATGAGGTATTGTCAGAAAAAACACAAGAAATTTACCCAAATCTGATGTTGTTCGTTGATATTGACTTTTAAATATTACACATCATATAAAATTATGTGCGAAAATAAAAAATATCAGATTCACTAAATTTCTTTTCAGTTTTTTGTTTGGGTATCATATATAAAAAGATGTTTCTACACATTCTATTCATCTTAAATCCTTGGGTGGTTTGTTCACTGCTCCTGTACATTAATTTATCTTTTTAATCATATAGGGACAATCTAGAGAAAACATTGTACATTAAGTATAATCTTACAATAGGGACAATCTAGAGAAAACATTGTACATTAAGTATAACCAGACAATAGGGAGACGATCTAGAGAAAACATTGTACATTAAGTGTAACCATACAATAGGGACGATCTAGAGAAATCATTGTACATTATATATAACCATACAATAGGGACAATCTAGAGAAAACATTGTACATTAAGTATAACCTTACAATAGGGACGATCTAGAGAAAACATTGTACATTAAGTATAACCATACAATAGGGACGATCTAGAGAAAACATTGTACATTAAGTATAACCTTACAATAGGGACGATCTAGAGAAAACATTGTACATTAAGTATAACCTTACAATAGGGACGATCTAGAGAAAACATTGTACATTAAGTATAACCAGACAATAGGGACGATCTAGAGAAAACATTGTACATTAAGTATAACCTTACAATAGGGACGATCTAGAGAAAACATTGTACATTAAGTATAACCTTACAATAGGGACGATCTAGAGAAAACATTGTACATAAAGTATAACCTTACAAAAAAGTTTATTTCCAACAAACATCCATAAACAAAAGCTTTTCTCTAATAAACAGATGGTTTTCTAGTCAAATATGGCCTACATATGTGTTTTGATATAAAACTTGAATGCTGCTTTTCTTAAAATAAACAAAAAAGTTGGAAAACAATATATGAGAATTTTTTTTTCTAAATATCAGGAGAAACAAATTGACATACAGTATATTTACTGAAATCCTTTTTACAAAATTTTGCACTTGTTTTTTCAGTTGCAGTTTCATTATTAAGCTCAATGGCTTGTCCCTATAATGAAGAATTATATCCATATGATCCTTTAAGAATCATACGTCATGTTGAACTTTACCTGGAATATTCAAGTTTGGTCATTACTAATCCTCTTTGGTATACATTTACCTACCTTGTATGTTTCAATATTGTCAAACTCTCCAATCACTGATGTCTATGTGACATATCCAGTATTTGTCAGCTATTATACAGAAGTTATACTGTTAAGCTGTTGTATCATACAACATAATTACTATATGTCAAATCAGTACAAAAAACTTGCAGCTTGGATAAAGTTTTGACTTCTAGGAGAAGAAAAAACATTGATATCCATGACGCAGTGATCATTCATGTATTTACATTTTCTGTTTCCCAGACCTTGGTGAGACAGGGATAATCCTGGAGAGGACCAAGGAGTCCTGGCCCCCTTAAAACTGAAATTGACCTTTCTATTATTGACATGCCTTATTTTTGGACACTGAATAAAAGTTGCTAAAAAATTGTATATTGATTGCTCTCATGATCAGCTCCCAGAATTGTCCCCAGTGAAGTCATCTTCTATTAGATTTGAGAATTATTTTGCTATGAAAAGCTGGATAAAAGCCTAGAGGACAAAATTTCATTTCAAGATTACAGTCTGTAATGCTGAACGTTTTCAAACCCAGGTTTACTTTCTATTTACCATACATATATAAGGTTGTCCATGATACTCTAATGGTAGCTGTATAGATATATACATGTAATATACAAAGGTGACAAGTTATCAACCTTGTCCTCACTGAAGTCCCTAATACACTCCTAATGTAGAGACCATCTTCTCATCAAACAGATAACATACACCCTTGATCTTCACAGATATATTGACCATAAATTCAAGAAGACCTCATCATGAATAACAAGTCAATACATTTCAATCTGTCCTTTATCAAGTGTATTTAAAACCAAGTACTTGAGATCCTGGTGTAAAGTGTGAACATTTAGTGTATACCTACAGTATTTAAGGAAGCCAAATGTATTAAAATACTGCATACAAAGTAACCTGTCAAATTTACAAACCACTCTGTTCCTTTTGCATAAGTTCATAATTGATTTTTCAAAATATAGCATAGATCATTTAACATTTACAGTATAATAATAAGTACTTTAAAATGTGT